GTGTGTGTGTGTGTGTGTGTGTGTGTGTGTGTATGTGTGTGTGTGTGTATGTGTGAGTGGGTGTACGTGTGTCTGTGTGTTGTACACATGAGCAGTTCATTTGGCCAACTAAATGCTAAATTTTGCATGTTCCTGCCACACCTTGTAGACAATCGTTAAGGGGCGCGTTTTTAAACGCTAGAAAAACGCGTGCAAGTCGCCCACATTGAGATTGTGTGAAGTGTATGAAAATTTATATTTATAAAAATGTTTACAAGCAGCTCATTAAGAAGGAATAAACCTACACATATTTATTGATATAAATTTATATAAAATGTTTATACATATATCATTATCTAAAGATGTTTTTTCTTCACTTATAAAAATATATCAACAGCAGCCCTTGTTTCTTTCAGTTCACTAACGGAAGCGATTAACTTTATCGTTGGTCGACTTGAAAATCAATTGAACCAGTTTCCCATCTATCTATAATTGTATTTTAATTAGAGGCGCTTTGGTAATTCAAATTCAATTATCCAAGCCAGCTGTTCAGTCAAGCCAAACCAATCGAATTGAAAACGAAATTTCATTCAATTGTTGAACTGCAATGCTGCAATGGGGGGACAGCAGTAAAAAAGATTTGTCAAGCTGCAAAAAGATGAGATAGAGAAAAGTGAACGGAAGTTGCCAGGCAACTTTCAGCAAACACAATGCACTGCAGTTGGATTGGCAGAGGAGGAGCAGGAGGAGCAGCAGAAGGGGTTGGATGATATGAGGCCTGTTTAATAAGCCGTTGCAATAACAACAAAGATGCGTTGCAGAGATGATGTATCACGTTGCCTGGAAATTAATTTGAAAGCAGCCATTTAAAGAGAGAGAGAGAGAGAGGGGGGGAAAATAGATGAGCCAATGCACAACATTTTAGTGCCACAGGCACACACACACACACACACACAGGCACACGCACTCACACATGCACATATTAATTAATTCAAAATTGCATTACGCATACGCACAGGTGTACGAGCGATGCTTAAACTAAACGAAAAGCCGAGTTGTGCCACACATGCAGCTGCAGCAGAGAGAGCGAGCACTTGGCCAAAAGACTCGTAAAATAAAAACCCAGCACACACGCCGCACATAAAACACAGGCAACAAAAGCCCGAGCTAACGAAGCAACAACAACAACAACAACAACTGCAACTACAACGACGTCAACTAGAAAAGGCTCTAAAGACCCAGCTCTAAACATTTTGATAGAAATTAAGTCGGAATATGACCAAATTCAGGTAGTTGGCTTGCAGCCAGCCGAGACTGTGGGTGCACACTCTACACCACATGTCACACACTCGCCCCGCCAGCCCCACCAGTTCATGTGTGTGTTGTGGCACGAACCAAACAGACCAAGGCAAGACCTGCCTGGCCGTCCGCCGTCCGTCCACGTTGCCGGCCAGACTGTTTGGCCACTTAAGCTGCCCGCGCTGCGCTCCAATGCAAATTATCTACCCCAGAGCTCCGATTTGGCTCGTACTTTCGGACACTTATTGTACGACTGTCGTCTAGAGATTGCCGTTGCCGTTGCCGTTGGTTGTCATGGCTGCCAATTGCAAGTTGCAAGTTTGTTCAAGTTTGCAACATATGCCGCCCAGGACACGGCTGCCTACGATACATAAAGAAGCCTGACTAGAGATGGAACAGTGAGCAATTCATTGAATCGATAGTTTCAGAAGATGAATTAGTACTAAATAGATGGAAACTTCTATTTGGAAAAGGTATTTGAGGCACTTGCCTTGCAATAATCCCAAATATTACGAACTAGTTCAGTTGAACAAATTTTAGTTAATTTTGGTGAGCCTATGAAACTATTTCAGTTGAAATACAGCATTTACTAGAGGACATTGGTTCAAATGAACTACTCGAATATATACTCGAACCAGGATCCATTCGAGCTAGATCAGTTTTAATGTGAGCACACACACAAACATCAAGGATTATGTTATTTAGGGAGCGGAATTAATATTTGTGCTGCTGTCCCTTTGAAACTGGTTCTATTAATATTATAGTTCAATCTCAAGGAAAAAGAGCAGAATGAGTTCATTTCAGAACTTATATTAAGCTCATATATTGATCATATTATGCATTCCTGCAGATATTCATATTAAAAGCAATCAAAATATTGAGCTAGTTCATTTGTTTAAGCTGCATCTTGGAACTTCATACTCCGATTAGTAAAATAATGCATTAATTCAGATTTTAATATGAATTCTTAAGCGGATTTTCATCTTTTAAATATAAAATATAATAAATATAAATTCATTGTTAAGACCAATAGATTGGATCCATCCCTAATGCCTAGTCCGCCTCGGTCTCGGCTCACCAAGCGCAACAAAATGGGCGAAAATTCACTTAATGCTGTTTCATGTTTTATAGTTGTTTTTCTTTAACGATTATGACAGCGTGGTCTGTGGTCAGGCATCGTTGGTCTTTTCTGCTACGGGAAATCTATGGGAGGCGCGACGGCTATTGGAAGCACCAACAATGACAATCTCAATTTTATTTATCATAAATTTAACTAAATTAAGGTATAGCGTACAATTTTAACTACTGTGAATATTGATACATATACATAAGTATATATCTATATATATATAGTCTTATTATAACACATAAAAGTATACATATATAGACATATGTTGAGTTAATAACACAGCCGACGCTAGTTAATCTGAATATACATGGGATGCTCTGTTTGCCATTGAAAATATGATATATATTCATATAGGCAAAGATATGTACATGCTCGATTCAGTTGGAAGCCGACGGACGCGGTTCCTCCATAGAGATCAACCAGCTACAATTAAGTATTTCGTGTAGATCCCAACGAGTCGATGCGTCTGGTTCCAGCAGTACAGACACCGTCGCCTTGGCGTGCGGTGATATTACATCCTGCAGCTTGCGGCGAAACGAAAACTTCTTGCCGCGCTGATCCTCCAGCAATTTGGTCAGATTACTATCATCAAAAGGCATTTTCGCATTCATCATTATAAACAGTATAACGCCCAACGACCAGGCATCGGCCATCTTTGGATCGTATGGCACACCACAGACCACCTCCGGTGCTGCATAGGCGGCGGAGCCGCAATATGTTTCCGATTTCAATTGATGTCCGGACTCGTCTCGACAATATCGCGCAAAACCAAAATCGGCCAATTTGACATTTAGTCGCTTCGACAGCAATATATTCTCGCACTTGAGATCCCGATGGGCAATGTCGTGACTGTGCAGATACTTGAGAGCTTTCGCCATTTGAAAGAACCAGACCTTCGACTGTTTCTCGTCGATGGGGCCCGTCTTCTTGATGTGCGTCAATAGATCACCCTTTTCGGCGTAACGCATGAATATAAAGATTTTGGGGCCGCGTTGCAAAATGCTATGGATCTGTATGATATTTGGATGATCCAGCTTTGTCAGTATCTCCAGTTCACGCGGAAAGAACTTGTGCACAAAGTCGGTGGGTGCTTTCGCCTTATCGATGATCTTGCATGCCAAATTAACGCCATGCCCAGCTTCATCAGCATAGCCAGCGGTTATGACAGTCGCATAGGAGCCCTCGCCGATCTTATGGCCAATATTATAGCCACGCTGGGCGAGGGCATCAATATCGGAGCTGCGTGTGCTCAGCTGACGATTGCCTCCATAGTTGGTCATGTTTTACAACGAATGCTAATGATCCTTTTAGTTAACCAACTATTTGGTTTGGTTCATGGCAAAGTTAATTAGGACTTGAGACACATCATTCACAAATTAATTACATATATTTACCGTTATGTTGGATATTCCCTCACTAAACTTGAATTTGATGGAACTATAATAAAGTTAGACAACTGCCTATTCCAATCCAGAAATTTTGATGAAACAACAAATGTTGTGAAAGAGCAAAGACAAATAAATAATAAAATAACTGAAACTCAAAATGCAATTAACATAAATTTTGCGTTAACTAGCCATGTCTACTATGCTCCACATTTGCCTTTTCTCTATGAAATAAATCTTCTACTTGAAGTGTAAATACAGATATAACTATTTTTGTGTTTTGTTTAACTAATTAAGCTCCACTGACAGCTAATGATATCGTTGCCTGATGATCATAAACGATATAGTCATTATTTTCTTTTATGAGCGTTATAATTGGGAAGACATATAAAATGAGAATGTTCTAGATTCGACTGGTAGATACTACTTGAAAACTATAAGGTTAATGCTTGTAGAGAAGCTAAGGGTTTCTATCTTACAATCTGTGTAAGTATTGCAGATGCGGATGCCAAAATATTTATATAGATTGTCTTTTATGGCTAGACTGCTTTGATAAATGATTTGAATTATAAGACACACTTAGTCACATCTTGAACTGATCTTCAATGATCTATACTAATGATTCGAATGAACATGCATACGAAATTACATCGAAAATTTTTGTATCAATCTTTATACTTCGCCATATCTTATGTTGAATTATAGAAAATGCCATAAAACTTCAATATAATAAAAATGGATGTAGTTTTTGATGAATATTCCCTCTAAAAATTCGTATAGGTTATTGATTATTATTATCATTTTATGAGGGAAATATGCTTCATAATGCATTAATATGCTTCTCAATTAAAAATAATAATAATTTGAATGAAGAGTATTAAAAATACGTCATAATATTTCACAATAATTATCATTAGTTATGGTAAATCGAGTTCATCCATTCTTAAAAGATATGCAATAAAAGTATATCATCTCAATGTATATGCATTATAAATTATACACTCTATGCTCGCATCATAAACTGATTTTAAATATTTTATATAAATAATTCCACTAAATATACTTTGAAAATTAGATAACTTTAAATCATTTATGCATTACTACAGCATATACACCTACTCAAATGACAAATAAATAATCAACGCTGACAACAGCTCAAATACATTTGTAAGTCTTCTCAGATTACTCAATGATATAGTTAACATAGGCATTATTTGTCGAAAATTGTGCTAGATACAAATCTGTTATCACTCATTTGTCATGTGCAAGTGCCTGCAACTGCTTTTCACTCCACTTTGAGAGAGAAAGATATATATATATATTTTGTAAAAATCAAAGTTAACTGGGTCTCGTTGATCAAAAATCGTTTTAGTTACATTTAAGTTAAGTTCATTATTGTCCTTGTTCTATCACGTTTTTATTTTGTCAAAATTTCTGGAACCGAATAGGAATTTTTGTTATTTTTATGTAATAGTACCATCAAATTTAAGTTTAGTCCATTTAACCAATGCAACGGTAAATATGAGAGATGAATGCATTTAACAGTTAATTAACCACGCCCCATCTAGTTGGTAAATAACACACACACACAAAAAGGCAAAATTGGCAATACTAAATCATGTGCAACAATGGAGAAATAGTACCCCAGACAAGGGGCACTCGAAGCTCCGACATCCACGCCCTGGCCCAGCAGGGCTACAAAATCGGCACCAAAATCGGCGAGGGATCGTATGCGACTGTGATAAATGCCGGCTTTGTGGACGAGTCTGGTCGTAATATCACTTTGGCCTGCAAGGTTATCGACAAGGACAAGGCGCCCGCTGACTTTGTCGAAAAGTTCTTTCCGCGCGAAATGGACATATTGACAAAACTGGATCATCCCAATATCATTCAGATCCATAGCATTTTGCAGCGCGGCCCCAAGATCTTCATATTCATGCGTTTCGCCGAGCGAGGCGACCTATTGACCCATGTCAAGAGAGTGAGCTTCATTGAGGAGAAGCAGGCCAAAATATGGTTCTATCAGATGGCCAATGCATTGAAGTATTTACACAGCTTCGATATTGCGCACAGAGATCTCAAGTGCGAGAATATATTACTCTCCGAGCATTTCAATATCAAGCTGGCCGATTTTGGATTCGCCTGCTTCTGCCACAGCAACGGCGGCAAGAGTGTGTTGTCCGACACATATTGCGGCTCGGCAGCCTATGCTGCCCCAGAGGTTGTCTATGGAATGCCCTATGATCCAAAACTGGCCGATGCGTGGTCATTGGGCGTCATTCTGTTCATAATGTTAAATGGCAAAATGCCGTTCGATGATGCAAATCTGTCCAGACTCCTGGAGGATCAACGCGCCAGAAAGTATGCGTTCCGTCGCAAGCTGCATAATGTTATCTCGCCTCATGCCAAGGCAACTGTTGCCGTCCTGCTCGATCCCTGTCCGGAGTCACGTTGGAATCTGCGCGAGATTCTCAAGTGCAGTTGGCTGCAGAAGGAAAAGGAGCGCCCAAAACAGGAGCACTTGCCGTCGCCGAACCAAATAATGCAATACGAACACCACCAACACGTGCACAAACACGAACACGAACACGAGCACCAACACGAACACCAACACGAAAACGAACACGAACACGAACAAGAACAAGAACAAATACAACAATAATTTATAACAATATATGCCTACGAATTGTCTTTTGTCCATTCTCGCTAAATAATTCGCGTTTTGTACATTGTTTTGATACCACAAAAAGGCTACGATAGAACTTACATTTATCGATAG